AAGCTGTCATGCTTCGCCGTCTCACACCATCAACAGAATCGTGGATCGAGTCAATAATTTTGTCCTGACTCATCCAGTGTGACCAGGGCATTCCGGTATTTATCTAGTTGCCTTCCTCTTGCTCTCTTTGTCAGTTGTTACCAAGTTGTTACACACCAACATACAGATAAAAGGGGAGAAGACTTGATGTGGCAACAGCCGCGATGTCGCAGCTGATTACCATGTGGGAGAGCAAAATCAGCATCGCAGTCAAGATCAACATTTTACAAATCACTGGTGTTGTCTATTTTCTGATACGGATGTGAGAGTTGGACTCTCACTGTGGAAATAGAAAGGAGGGTACAGGCTTTCGAATGTAAATGCTACAGGCGCATTTTACGAATTTGTTATTTAGCCTTTGCCTTTGCCTTTAAAAATGAAAAAAAAAAAGAAAAACTCGGACGGCTTCAACCTTCCTCTGGGGCTTGGTTTTTTTTTTTTTTTGCGTCCTGGTGTCTTTGCGGTTTTAATTTCTTTATTTCGGTGCGACGATGTCTCACGTCTTTTGGTTTTCCTTGCTGTTTTGCAACACTGGCTTGGGTTGGGAATGGACGGTTTACTAGTCCTGAGAAGGACTAGTAGAGTATGCCGGGCACGGCCTGTATGGGGGTGGGTGGGAGTTGATCTGGCTGTCAAGCAATCATGCCTGGCTGGTTTTTCGCAAGTTGGCTTTCCGGTCCGGTGAGCTGGGTTTGGCAGGTGTCATGGCGGCTTGTTATTTAGAACACAAAACTAAAAAAATATGTCAGAGACAAAATATACAAATTTGCGGGTTATCAAGAGCCTGTCTTTGCAGTGCAGAAACGTCGCAAGCTAGTTTGGCTTGGGCACGTGGTGATACATGATTCAATCGCAACGTTTTTACTTTAAGGAACATTTGGTGGGTAGTCGGAGAAGAGTAGGGCAAAGAAGAATCTGGAATGACAACATCAAGAAATGGACAGGACTAAGTTATCATACACTTATTCATTAAGCAGAAGACAGAGAAAGGTGGCTGTTGTTATGTGCTAGTGCTTCCATCAATACACCTCCACGACCCTAACGGGTCAAGGGTTATGTTATGTTATATTACCAAGTTCTCAATTCCATCTCCTCTCATGCAAATGTGGCCACGGAACTCACACGGGGATCTTTTTTTTTCAATTTCCTTAATTATGTTTTTCCTCTTTAAAAAAAAAAAAACTTTGTTCAGTCGCTTTATTTCAAACTATAATCATCCACTTCCTGATTCGCATTTTCTAACACAGAAAATACCCCTCCCCCCAACCCCTTCTAGTCCTGGCCTACTAAATCGTCTCCCGGAGACATACTTTACCACGTCCACCGATCCCAGAGGGATTGGGTCCAGACACGTATATTAAAATATGTCTATACAAACACGCACAGGCTTTGGACTAATCTATTCTCAATATATCAGTTGTGAAGTTGTCAATTTGTTAATGGGAAATTTCTCGCGCTTTCGTGGGGGAAAATTCGTCACCGCTGACGTACTTTTGGAATTAATTTATCAATTACGCTACACTAGGGGAGACGTTTCCTAATAACTGAGTATATCTATAGATGGCTGGGCAAGATTAATGTACTGGTCTAGTTTAGTACTCATTTTGGGAATTAAGTGGATGTTATGGGAAATTATATAATAACACAGACAACTGAAAATTGTAAACGATGTTGATAATTTTAACAGATTTGGTTTGTTACTAAGGATTTCATTCTGTTTGTTGGACTCTCTAACCTAGAAGTTTAGGCTGTTTGAGGTCGCCCCCCCCCCCCCCCCCCCCGCAGCCCGAAACAATTGTGTCCATAAAAATGTGTATAAAAACTAAGGACCTCCCCGTCCCCTGTGTTTGTAAGGAAGCCGAGCAGTGCTGGATTTAGATACAAGTTAAATAAGCTAAGCTTTGGGCCTTAGAATTCGCTAGGGCTTGAAAAACGCATATTAGTTAAGCAGCATATATATTGATGACACAATCTGTTATTTTGCACTTGGAAAATCAAGAAAAATGACTTAAAATTGTAATATAGAGCTTTTAAAAGAATTTTGCAGTATAATGGATTTTACAAACGCATTCTTTATTATTTATTTTAATAACATTGCACCCTAATATTGTACACAAATGTTTTTGTTTGTTTTTGTTTCAAAGCCCCACCCCAACTGTCGTCCGGGCCTTGATATTACCTAACATTTGAACGGGGTTTGTGGGACTTACGTTAGGGATATCATCATCCGAATGGTGGCACTTTGTGTCACCAAGTGTTTAATGGCTAGTTGTGTGTTCCTGGTGGGTTGAACGTCATTCACAAACATTCATTACCAATATATTTTCATTATCGATATATTTACAAAGCGCATATATTTACAGTTTTTTTCTGTGATTCTGTAAGATTAGTTGCGTATCCTTTACAGGACGTTGCAGAACCAGCCCCTGGCTGTTGTGTGGTTTTTCTAGGCAAATCGACGTCCAGTAGTTAGCCATTGTTTGTGCACGGTCGGCTCTCTTGATACCACTGTCGAAACCAACGCAAGGCGCATGACCCGCAGCTGGGATCGAACCCAGCATTCCGGCATTACGAAGCGTTCGCATCGACTTAGCCACAGAGCCGACTTTCAGAGATTAGCTGATGTAATTTAAAAAGATAGGGCCGCCGGATTTATGGGTCCTCATCAAGTCTAAAACCGACCCAAAAACTTTTTTACAAACTTCAGATTATTTCGCATATATTAATGGGACCTAAACAGTTTTAATTTCAGCACATGGTAAGTATAATCAGGACTTTTTTTTTTTTCTATTCGAAAAAAAAGCGACATTACTTACCAGAGAGTGTCTTAAAACAGAGTGGGACCCACTAAAACTTGCCTTTTACAGGAGTGCTGCGAAAAAACACACACAAGGATATATGAAAATAAGGTTTGGGTACCGCGTACCATTGCGTACCAGAGGTGAGGGGATGAGGGGGGGGGGGGAGGGGAGCCCTGAGAATAATTATGATTTCTTCGTCACTGTTCTCCTGTCCGATTGTGCCAGTAGGCGTTGCGAGCGCGCTTCGTAATGCTAAAGCACTTACTTTAATCCCAGCTGCAGGCAATGTAACAGCGGACCATCTGACGATGGCAATGGCAAACTACTGAACGTAAAATTGTCTAGAAAAATGTCAAATATAAAAATACAGTTAAAACTGCTAGCGTTGGTTCTGCAACGTTCTGTAACGAACACGCAACTAATTATGGGTACTGTGTCAATTTCTCGCCGAGATGTCTAGTCACTGACTCGCAGAGCGTGTGAGAAAGATGTAGACAGGTACGCTCCGTGCAGAGTGGCAAGCATTGCCTCAGAGGTCCTGGGTAGTTAGGGTCCTTTGGATTTTTTCTTAGGTTTTGCCAGTGTGTTGGGAAACTAGCAGGCAAATAGACTGACTGGTTCTGTACCACTTGGTGGTGAACTGATGTATGAAAAAGCTAGATATTGTGAGTACCATTGGGAGCGAGTAAACAGTGTAGAGGCACAAATTGATCTCTACGGTCTCTGGAAAAATTACGTTCCGAGGAGTTACCGGGGGATCTCAATACTTCTTCTTCTTCTTTGTGTTCACCAGCTGTACACTCTGGCGTAAAGTTCTGGTTGTTCGTCCACTTCTGGACTGCAGTCATGCTCCAGAACCTGAGTGTTGCATGTGCATCAGTTTTACAGATCTGATTCAATTGAATGCAGACTGCTGGTTCCTTGCCTCTCAGGCAGATGCACTCCGACTTCAAAGGAAGCTCCCCAGTTAGTCGACTCTTACGACATGCTTTTGGGGAGGCAGTGGGTCTATTCTTGTTTTCCCCACAATAGGGCCCCGGAACCCACACGGGGGATCTCAATACTCAAGGGGACGGATATACAATCAGACAGTTACTGGTGCCATTGGAACTGGGACTCTTCGCTTGCTGTTGAAGATGAAGATGGAGTGCACATAGGAGTGTCCTGAGTACATGATGTCGATTCCTAATTTAGAATTAGAAATTCATCAGGATGTGCCAAAATTTCGCGATTTTCTCTATCTTGTAATTGTCTGTACACGCTATTGTCAAGAAATGTATTTGGTTTCTTCCCCTTTTTTTTTAATTCAGCCCATTTAATGTTTATCATTTTCATCGACAATTAGTTTCGAAATCTCTTTTTGTTGCATACTTTTTGTGGTTCTCCAACCAGTCATCGTTATTAGTAGTCCATCGACATCTAGTTTCATCCCTTTGCTTTAACATGGCTGCTAACTTGACCTTCCCGTTTCCTACCCTTGGTCTTCCACTGACCAAAATCTGGCCTGGATATCCCACATAATCGTGTTTGTTCGGGATATCGGGGATAGTCTGCCCGGTATGTCCCACAGACTAGGGTCTGCGCAGGATGCCCCATAGACTTGTGTCTTCCCGCTATGTCCTGCAGGTTGGATATCCAAGAAACGGATGTCCCATATTCGAGATTTTTATAATCAAAGGCCTTGATACACCAGAGTAATACATCCTAGAAAAAATGATGATAACTAAAGCCAGTCAGAAAATCATCATCAACAATATTCTGTTACGGAGCTGACAGTTTATTCTTCTATTTGGCTCTATCTGATGCAGTTGTTTCAACAAACCATGGAACCAGGCCGGTGAAGTTATTCACCAAACTCGAACCAGTACGAGCATTTAAAAGCTTGACTCCCAATGTTGGGTTTTTTCCCCCAGATATGAGTTTTTATTTGACGCCTGGGAAGAATCTGGGTTTTTTTTTTTTAATTTATTCTTATATAAAAGTGGTAAATGTTTCGTTTCGTAAATTTAAATTGTGTACATTTTAACAATCTTTTTTTTTGGTTGTCTATGTATTGCTTAGGTTTTTGTTTAGCGAAGCTGGGTTTTTCAAAAATATCCCATTGGCAGCCCTGTTTACAAGGGAGAGCATTCACATAAACTGAGAAAAAGAGGCTCCAACATGGCGGTGACATTGATGGCCAAAGGCCTGAACCTGAGTCTGTAAGTGCGGAAGTTTATTTATGTGACTGGTATCTTTCAGTAATTGTTCGTATTGTTTGTGTTTGTTAGCTATTTTAGGGAGTGAGGGTAGTTAAGGCTAGAGCTTCTATCTCAACTGTCTAGGTCATGCAGATCCGAATCTAACTACAGTAACAACTGTTTCTGAACAGTGTAGTACTATAAGTAAAGTACTTTTCAGTCATCAGCATCATCATGTGCCCTGCCAACAGGCGTAGGCGCTCATGCATCTCTTTAGGATGCAATCCCAGATGGCCTGGAACAGCTCTCTTGATGATATCCCTCCAATGCCATCGTTTGTGCACTTTGTCACAGCTAAAAAGTGCATCTGGTCAACTTCTTTTGATCTCAGAGGACATGAAGTGCAGGGATCAGACCCTCAAACAAAGAGTCCTGAGTCCTTGGTGAGAGTTTGATTGCTGTTGCAGTGCTAAAAAGTTTTATTTTTCTTCTCAGTTTGTAACTAGGAGTATTTCTTAAAGACAATACTTAATACTACCATATGTTTTAGTGTTACTAGTCAGTGTCTGAGTCACCAGAGGTAAACATCCAATTTGTCTCTCATCCCCCCTCCCTCCCCCCCCCCCCCGCAACCAATTCTTCACTTATAATATAATATAAAATCAAATCATACTAACGGACAGGTCAAAGGCGTTAACAGCCAGTCGTCAGAAAAGAATAAGAATTCTTGGCTATCCTCCGAATAACGGGCACAAGAGATGGCGGTAAAAAACAGGGCATCAGTCACATGTCAATTGCGCACATCCGGCGACCTAATTTGCGGTTTTCCGGCGACTACCGCCACCACTGAGAGTATCCCCCATGCCGCTCACGCGGCGTGGATTGGGGCTAAACTAGATGGCTATGACTCACGAGCAAAGCTGCAGGAGATGCGGAAGCTGCTGCTCGTGAGTCCCAGCCATCTAGTTTAGCCCCAATCCAAGCCGCGTTAGCGGCGTGTGAGATACTCTCGGCAGTGGCGGTAGTCGTCGGAAGTGTGCAATAGACACGTGACTGAGGCTCTGTTAGGATGTTTTTGCGGCTGCCATCTTTTGTGCCCGTTATTCGGAGGATAGCCGAATTCTTTTTGTAAGTTAGATAACATGCATACTCCAGGCATGCCACTCTTCCAAATACCGGTCCCAAATTATTCAGTGTGAAAAACATCCCTTTGAGAGCCCCAAGAGGTTATGTAGTAAAAACATTTAGGCCATCATCATCAGTTTCCACTTCTGCCATTTATTGCTCGATGGATAGCAATGTCAAGACATTCAGCTAAGCGCTGAGGGGAGGAATTGTTTTCAATAAATTGAAGCGTTGTGGGGGGGGGGGGGGGGGGGGGGGGGGGGGGGGGGGGGGGGGGTTTGGGGGGGGGGGATAAACCAGATCTGTAAAACGAATGTGCAAAAACTCAAGTTCTTGAACAAGATCAGAGTGCAGGAGTGAGATCAGAGTGCAGGAGTGAGATCAGAGTGCAGGAGTGAACTAATAATTAGAACTTTCCATTAGAGTTTACAGCTAGTGGACGCTAGGAAGAAGAATTTTCTATTTACATTGTTACATCAGTTGTCTAAAAATCTGGTCTTGTTTCAGGCTACAGGCTCCAAGTCTGGCTAAGGCTTGTTCACAAATTCAGAAACTCCACACACAGGGCAGCCCCCTGTTGTTCAGATCCACTCAGCAGTTATGGTATGCTAATGTTTTCTGTTTGCATTAGTGTTCAGCAAAATCACCACTAAATTAGACATTGATTCTGTATTTTCTAGTAATTGTGATTGTAACAACAGACTCACAGAGCATGCTTCAGAAAATCGAAACTGGCTTCCTGCATGTAGAGTGGCTTGTATCACTTGATAAGACTCATATCCGGAGCATATCCCAGGTTTTTTGTCAAAGATATTTGGTTTGGGGAGGAAATGAGCAGACTGATGGGATGCTGCTACTCCTCTGGGCAGTAAGCTACTTTTTGATAAGGTAGACATAGTGAAAACCTTATATCTCCCTCGACACCCACAGCGGTAAAAGAGGAAGTGAAGAAGAGAAGAAGAAGAAGACATAGTGAAGGCTCTATGGAATCAGATGAACAGTGCAATGAAACAGAGAATCTGTACACTGAAAGACTAATTCAGTGGAGATGAGTAGAGGTTCTGAAGATATTCAGCACTGAAAGGGAAACGGAGGCAGACTTTGAATCAGATTACAACTGATACTGTTAGCATGTTGACTCTTCTTTGACTACTGAGGAAGAAGACGAAGCTCATGTGGGAATATCCAGAGTGCAGTGAGGTCATTTCTTGATTCCTCCATTCATTCACGTTCTCTGATTCCCAATTCTGGTTTATCTCACTATTAGTTGTTAGAAAAGGATTCCATATTTTGTGGTTTAAACTAGGATTCCTGATGCTTTTTGCTGTATCTTTCACTCTTTCTTATATATCTGTTAGAATTAGATTCCAGATTCTGTCTTGTTTTTCTCTCAATTAGACAAGGATTCTAGATTCTCTCTGGTTTATCTCCCAATTAGATTCCAGATTCTCTCTGGTTTATCTCCCAATTAGACTAGGATTCCAGATTCTCTCTGGTTTATCTCCCAATTAGATTCCAAATTCTCTTTGGTATATCTCACAATTAGATTCCAGATTCTCTCTGGTTTATCTCCTAATTAGACTAGAATTCTAGATTCTCTCTGGTTTATCTCCCAATTAGATTCCAGATTCTCTCTGGTTTATCTCCCAATTAGACTAGGATTCCAGATTCTCTCTGGTTTATCTCCCAATTCGATTCCAGATTCTCTCTGGTTTATCTCTCAATTAGACTAGGATTCCAGATTCTCTCTGGTTTATCTCCCAATTAGATTCCAGATTCTCTCTGGTTTATCTCCCAATTAGACTAGGATTCTAGATTGTCTCTGGTTTATCTCCCAATTAGATTCCAGATTCTCTCTGGTTTATCTCCCAATTAGACTAGGATTCCAGATTGTCTCTGGTTTATCTCCCAATTAGATTCCAGATTCTCTCTGGTTTATCTCTCAATTAGACTAGGATTCCAGATTCTCTCTGGTTTATCTCCCAATTAGGTTCCAGATTCAGTCTGGTTTATCTCCCAATTAGATTCCAGATTCTCTCTGGTTTATCTCTCAGTTAGCCTATAATTCCAGATTCAGTCTGGTTTATCTCTCAGTTAACTAGCATTCTAGATTATTGTTTTTGGTTTATCAACCTGCATTACTCTACTGTTGATTACAAATCGCCCCCAGATGACACCTTCACACCATTTTATTTTGGGCTTTCTGCTATTCTGTCTGTCATAATAATTAAATTACTTTCTTTTCCTGACAAATTTTCTCACTGTCAGACAACATGCCCAGTTTTTCTTTTATCTTTTCTGTAATTCATGTCAATCTGATGATGGTGATGACTTTTCTCTCCTTTCTTCAGGGCAGAACCAATGAAGAAGAAAAAACGACTCGATCCCATGATGTCAGCAGCTCGACAGGCTAAAAAGCTGAAAAGGCTTGACAAAGAGATCAAGAAATTAGCGAGAGTTGGGCGGATTCTAAAGCCTATAGAAGAAATAGAAGTCAATCTGAAGAAACTGACATTAGCAAGGTAGATATTATGAGATATTATCAATCTGATAGTGTTCCTTCTGTTTTATGACTGTGGATCAATTCCCACTGTTGAACAGGATGTGCCTAAGAAGAATCATCAACAACTCATAACTGTGTCAATTGTCATCCAGTTATTGACTGTCTGATAAGCTCCCTCCACCTTTGAAGGTCAGATATGATGGACTTCATGGTTGCATGCCTAAGGCTGGTCCAGCCAGTCAAATTCTGTATCCAGGTCTTTCTTGATCTACCTCTTCTCTACTCTTTAGTATTGTTTTTGAGAGGTCATTAGATCTTATTACACATTTGTACCATTGTATTTTCCATTTTTCACTTTTGTTAAAAAAAATTCATAATTGCCAGTGTGCTGCAAGAAGAATACTCCACATAATTGTGGTCAAATGTAATTACAAATACTGGGCTATTGGAAAGAGCAGATATCATTACAGTGGTTTTTTTTTACTCACTCTTATAGACTGGTATGGCTAAGACACCGCTTGAGGATCGTAGAGTCCTTAGTGACATCCTCTTGTAAATTATGGATGGGTAGAAGATGAGATTAGATAGAGAAGTGTCATGAGCTGAATAAATCATTGTTTACGCACTGGACACTGCTGACCCAGGAGACACTCGTATAAATTAGTTGAGCCAGACAGCTCTCTGGACGTGTTTTTGTGCTGAACATGTCTTGCAAGACTGTCCTCTCTTGGCAGAGCTGTGAATGAATATAGCACATGACCAGACGTCGCTGAAGAAGAAGTATAAATCATGACCTGATATGTGGAAGTGAATCATGAACAGTTGGATGATTAGTGAAAAATTATATGAAGTGGCAGAGATATGGTTTTATAGACGATGATGAGAATACCCTGGACACAAAAAATTATAGAGATGTCTTGAAAGAAATTGACTCAAGAAGAGAACTCATTGCCCACCTCAGAAAGATGTAATCGGCATTGTTCAATCATTTCATGAGGGGAACACTGGAGTACATTGTGATAGTGAGAAACTTGCAGAAGGAAGGAAGAAGATGCAGACTGGGAGAGAAGATGCTGGACAGTTTGACATCATGGCATGGATATCTTCTGTGTCTGAATTGATTGAAGGTACACAAGACAAAAGGTTGTGCATAGACATTATGACCAACACCACATGGCACAGACTCTAAGAAAACGACTATGTTGAGGTTGGCTTGTGCTACAATATAAAGATGTGTGCAGGTAGAAAATGAATGATACACATGTTGAGGTAGACTTCAAGAAACCAACAGTTTGCATACAAGTAAGGCAGATCTGTTAAATGGATGTGTAAAAATAAAAAGTTATAGAACAAGACTTAAGTCCAGAAGTGGATGAACAAGAACTTTCTGCTGGAGTGTACAGCCAAAGAAGAAGAAGACAAAGAGGGACACACTGATCCTCCATGTTGGGGAGTTGAAGCATGGGGCAAGAGCTTCCTCCTTTATAACGTCTCATTTTATTAGGAAACAGTTTCAATGACCATGACAGCAGTACTGGTGGTAGCATAGCTATGAACAGGATCTCCAGAAGCCGGACAAGTCAAAGGGCAGAGAACAGACAAGACAGACACCCTAGTCCTCCATGTTAGGGGTTAAAGTAAGGCAGTCACCCCCACTTTGTAAAACCTTATTTCATCATGAAACAGATATCCAACCATGAGGCAGACCTAGAAGACAGTGGAGAGATAATGTGCAAGTAGACCTCTGGGGTAAAACAAAAAAAGGCCAGTCACAGAGATCACTGGAGGCAGATTATTCCTGCAGCAGAAGAATTAGAAAGCTTCTGCTTCTTCTTTCATTCGCTTGAAATAAATGATCTATATCTGCAGTGATGTCTCTAGCATGAACTTCACTGTCTGTTGTAATTCGGTCAGCGCCCCGTAAAGTTTAGCTTGCACAGATGACTAAAAGTTGAGTCTTGATGTTTTCTAATTAGGAGGCAAATGAGTATGCTTTCAACAGTAAAGGTTTGGTCATTAGATACTGCCGGAGTGGGTTCTGGGGCCTCGTGGGAAGGAAAATAACAAACAAGTAGACCCACTGACTCCTTAACAGGCATGTCAAAAGAGTTGACTAGTTTTGGGTTTCCTTCGAAGTCGGAGTGCCTCTGTGAGGCAAGGAACCAACAGTCTGCGTACAAATAAGCCAGATATGTAAAACAGACATGCATGCAGAACTCAAGTTCTGGAACAAGATTAAAGTCCAGCAGTCGATAAAAAAAACCAGAATTTCCGCTGGTGAATGTGAAAAAGAAAAAAAATTGTTCTTCTCTGCGATCACCAGGTGTGAATTGGGCAGAAAGTCCTCGCCAGCCCCCAAGAAAAGGCAGATCATAGGCATTCACCACCATCCAAACATGCTTCCATAAATGCAGAGCCAACACATGACGCTCTGGTCCTGGGCTTATCTAAGGATCGTCTGCCTAACCTCACAACCTTATGTTGAGTTTTCTGCTCCTCATGAGCTCCAATAGTCAGCAGGGAGCAGCCTGCAGGTTCAGGACTTGGTAACACTTGTCTTAATCCTGTTAGAAGACACCTTTAACATTGTTCCCAACACTCGGGCGAGTGGTGCCAGTAAATACAGACATTGGAACATTTCTGCCAGTCAGTAGGATTTATTACAATCAGACATTGACTTTGCTTGTGTGCCATAGGTCAAGTATTTGTCTGTATTTGAGCCTAACCAACAGACTGACAGTGGCTGTCGTGGTGTACCTCAGCACAGTTGAGGGTTGACAGAAGATGTATGGAGACAGGATTTTCCCACGAGAAACCACCCTTAGAAGTTGCTTGTCTAAACTGCATTCAAATCTCTTGATCTACGGCTGAGTCTCAGTAAGCCACATGTTCTTTAGACTGACCTTTAACCGACACTTGTCATTTAGTGATGCATTCAACAAGTGGACATTACTCATGTTGCAAATTATTTTGATAGACATTTTCACCCATGCATTTAGTGGTGGCTGATGAGAGCTAGTCAGGACACTACATCTCTGAGATCTCCTGCCAGCTCTATTTAGGCTCATTTGAGACATTATTCATGGCACACGATGGGGACGTGCAGCGGGAGTCTTGCATGAGGTTCCATAAAACCAGTGCAGAGAAGGCTGACGCTTGTGGTGACCTATGGAATATCTCCTTATACACATCCCATGGGACTTAACTCTCCCTCTTGCTTGTGACCAAAGTCACCGTGCCACCAAAAAGATTGTTGATTACCATCACGTTTTATTATTACAGAGAGAGAAAAAGAACAAATCCAGAACTGACACTTGAGGAGGCAGACAGCCGAGCCCTGTTAATGAAAGAGTGGGTACGGTACAGAAGTAAGCTGTGGCGACAGGAATACTTTACTTATGAGAGAGTGTTTGCCGCCCAGCAGGAGGCGCTGCAGGAGCTGAAAGCGGAGTCAGAAGAGCTATATCAGGCAGCTCTACAGGTAATTAGTTGTAAAACAATATCCAGTTTGTGTTATTGTTTGAAAACAGATTTCTTATAACAGCTGTTAGTCTGTTTTATCTTCTTTCTCCGTGCAAGCTGTTTTCAGATGACTAGGTCACAGGTCTCTATGAAGGCTGTGGTGCATGTCCTTCACTGATGCATACAGCTTGTTTGCCTCCAGAATGTTAAGTGGCCAGACTGGGAATCTACTGTATGTAAAGAGCATATTTGCAGCAGTTATTCAGTAATCTTGCTTTTATTGATCTTACCAAGGCCTTTGATTTGGTTAGTCGAAAAGGTCTGTTCGACACACTGAAGAAGATTGGGTGCCCACCTACCACACTGAGCATTATTGAGTCGTTCCACACAGGTATAAAAGGTACAATCAAACTTTAAGGATGTAACATCGTTGGGAGTTTGTAATAAAAAAAATGGAGTGAAGTAGGGATGTGTACTTGCTCCTACCCTCTTTGGATTATGTTTCTCACTTCTTTTGGAACTTGCCATTAGAGGTCAGGAGGGTGGTATATTCATCCATTCTCGATCTGATGGCAGCCTTTACAATGCTCGCAGATTAAAGGCCAAAACCAGGATAAGAAAAAAAAACTTATCAGGGAGCTGCTGTTTGCAGATGATGCCGCAGTAACCACCCACTCAGAGGAGGAGCTGCAATGTTTACTGTCTGCCTTTGGTGATGCATGCTGTGAATTTGGACTAACAGTCAACAAAAAGAAGACAGAGGTTATGGTACAAGGTGTTAATGATAGACTTACAGTCTACATTGATGGTAAAGAGCTGGAGACAGTAGACTATTTTACCTATTTAGGTTCCACAGTGAATAACAAACTGTCACTGGACCAAGAAGTCAACATCAGGATAGGAAAGGCAGCAACAACAATGAGTAGATTGACAAAAAGAATTTAGGAGAACAATTAAAACAAAAACTCTCCTTTATGGCAGTGAAACTTGGTCAACCTTTTCGCACCAGGAGAGACAACTAAACAGCTTTCACATGCGATGCCTATGAAGAATGCCTGGCATTAAGTGGCAGGACAAAATCACAAACACTGAGGTACTGACTCCTCATAGCATAATATAACACTATCATCTGGAAAGATAGAAAGGTGCCAATCAATTCAGTAATCTGGGCACCTGTCCATATGGGCAGAGTGCGAGTCCCCAATCTGGAATTCTCTGTAGAAGTGACTGCAGCCTGTCTCCAGTTTAGTGTAATTGCAAGTCTGTCTTAGTAACATTGATGTGGATTTTATTTTCTAAGTGTAATGCCAGGATGCCGGGTTCGATCCCAGCTGCGGGCCATGTGCCTTGCGTTGGTTTCGACAGTGGTATCAAGAAAGCCGACCGTCCAGAAAGCAATGGCAAACTACTGGATGTAAATTTGCCTAGAAAAACCACACAACAACCAGGGGCTGTTGGTTCTGCAATGTCCTGTAAAGGATACGCAACTAACCTCTATCACTACCCCCTGGGCCTGTGATGCTAAACCCCCTGGGACTCAAAGAGTTAAAGTAGTCATTCTATCAAATCTGTTGTATTGTTTTTAAAACATTTGTCATTCTACATTATAGCTTGTTTGTAAAACATGTCTGTGTTATTGTTAGTAAAATATCTGTCACTCTACTTTATTGTTTGTAAAATAGTAATTGCTGTAAAACATTTGTCAATTAGTTTGTAAAATATTAATTGCTGTAAAATGCCTGTCAATCAGGTTATTGTTAGTAAAACATCTGTCGGTGTGTTTTATTGTTTGTGAAATTGTCATTGCTGTAAAATCGTCAATGTGCATATTTATTTCTCTGGTAAATAGTTTTTGCTGTAAAAGATATCACAGCCTGTGTATTTATTTATCGGACTCACTTCTACTGTAATATTCCTCTGCACTGTCTTGGGCCATCCTGTATAATTTCTCTTTGTCTCTGCAATTTCTGATGCTGATTTCTTCCCATTATGGCTGTTCTTCGCTGCCTTTCATATTCCGTCTTCTGATACAAGTATTTTGTCATTACATATTTGTTCATTTTTGCCCCCAGATTGATTACGGGGTAGTTCCTGTGGAATTTCAAGGCCCAAAGCTGACCCCACCAATCAAAAACTACCAGCTTTTAGATGGAGAGTATGTTGACACAACAAGAAAATATTAAAAATATCACGAAACTAGATCTCACTGTGATTTTGCTGTGTTTTTGTGTGTGTAGGACCGTTCTAGTTTAAGCAGCGGCCATATTGTACGTAATCACCATGTGCAGTCATGGTTTGCCTCCTCTTGTACGTCACGGTCTAGAGCAGAGGGCCACAGAAATGCTCTGGTGGTCCGCCTTATTATGTAGCGGCTACATGATTCTGACATCCCATTGCTGCACAGCCAGTGAGCTGTATTGTATACTACGGTTCTACGCGCACGTTTGTGTATATATATATACACACATACAGATTTTCTTACCTCTTAGCAGCAGCAGTCACTTTAGCCATATACTGTAATGTCATGATTTTAGATTTATAAATAAATTGGGTTATTTTTACGATGGTCTCCCCATTTGCACACCACCAGTTGTAGCCATTGCAACTTGGTTGGACTAGTCTGGGGGGGTTGAGGTTATGGGTGTTGCAGTCTGTAGTTGTCTGCTATTTACATTTTTATTTCTGAGAAAGAGACGGCCTATGACATGTTTTACACTCCCTAGCAGGATTGTGTGTTAGATCCAGTATCTAAATGTTTCAGAAGTGTTAAAAGTTCTGGCATGGTGAAATATACAACATGCAGTATGAGCGGGAGTGCGGAATATCCCGTGACCTTGTGTGAAAGTCGGATCGCTTGAGGTCGATCTATCAGAAGTGATGTGATCAGTAGGTCATCCAATCAGAAGAGAGCTAGTGTGTAGCGGTGTGCAAATGGGGAGACCAGCATAAAAAAAACCATTAATTGATATATACATTCATTTGTATTTCTGTGTTTGGTTAGGTGATCTGCAAAATAATGTCCCCTTCTGCTGGTACGCATGGGTAACAGTTTTGAAGTACACTAGTTTTGGGCCTAAATTTTTTTTTGGGAAGGGGGGGGGGGCATACTGTATCCCTGACAAGCATGTCATAAGAGGCGACTAATTTGGGGTGTTCCCGGTCGAAGTCTGCATGCATCCACCTAAATAGCATGGCGCCAGTAATTTGCATACAAATAAAAGGTTTGAGGCTTTGAACAACGGATCAACATCATGTCATACGGGTAGTAACCCATAAGTGCTCTTTTCTTCTTCTAACTCAAGTCTGAAGCTCAGCACAGTGCACAGGCTCTGTAGCATCGGCGAGGATCCTGAAATATTTTTGGGTAGATTTTTAACTCCAAATTTTGCACGAGCAGGGCCGTTAGGCTATTTTCGATTTCCAACTGCCAAGGGATTTTTTATATGCGCAACCATGCACACGGGCGTCATCTATGAGAGACAGAGCATGGGAGATAGGACACTTTATCATGAGCTGATTGAAGTCTTATGCTCCATTAGAGAAAAGAGGGCAAAAAAAAAAAAAGCAGGCTCTTCTAACAGATGTGAACTTCTGGCCCAGATACTTCAAAGTGATGACTTGACTGATTTTTACATCTATATTGTAAAGAGAATTGAAGATTTAAAAAAAAACGGACAAAGAATCACCAAACGGGCACTGAAATAAGAAACAAATTAAAGGAGGATGTCCAAGAGAAATCCTAAGTGAATGTTGTTGACACCTGCAAAAGGTGCTGGACAGGATTCAACCCATGATACTGAAAGGATAGAACAAAACAGATCTGAAAGTCCTGTGTCAGTGATTCCCAAACTGTGTGCCCCGGGGAGCCGCGAACTCTTCAAAGATAGACATGTTTTATTTTTTTTCTCTTACATTAGAATAGTCATACTTTTACTTACTTTAGGGTACCGTGGACAAATTTCAATGGACAAAAGGCGCAGCGTCTAAGAAAAGTTTGGGAAACACTGTCCTATGTGGTGTGTAATGCTAAACCAGGATGATGGCTTTAAAGGGAACATGCTAGAATTTGTCCTTTCATGAAAACTATCATACATTTAACCTTCTTTCTCTGGAACGACTTTCTATTTGGTTCATATAGAGTACTTTTCAGTGTTTCTGATATTTCAAAGGTTGATCAGTGTGGTTGACCTCTGGCTGTATTACTGCTGTATCTGTGAAACACTGCTCTCCGTGGTGCCTTGACTGCTGCCAACCATTTGATATGTTTGTCTATCGATAAAGTTCAGTACATACAGTTGAATGGTTCTGGTCTGAATCAGGTTAGGGAGTTTAAATATCTAGGAAGTATGATCACAGGAAGGTGGTAGAATTGACAGAGAAATAGAAACCAGATGTCAGACAGAAAGTGCTCTTATATACCAACTGTCACTATTATTAAAACATCCAAGCATAACTATGAGTACAAAGAGACAGCATATTCATTCCAACATTGTGTCAAACATGGACACCATCTAAAGCCCATATACGCAAAATCACCACATCCGAGATGAGAAGATGCCTCAGAAAAGCAGCCAACCTAACCATCCAAGATCGAGTGAATAATGACACTATTAGACAAATTGTGGGAATGACACCTTGTACTAGATTCATTGAGAAACAGCAGATCAAGTGGTTTGGCCATCTCGTTAGAATGCAGCAAGATCAAATATCATTATAAGCACTACATCACAGAAGATCAGCTGCAAGAGGATGGCTGCGAAATATATAGATCGACAACATTAAAGAGACTACGCCTTCATGGTATGACAATAGCCAGCGTGCATATAATGGCATCCGTCAGTCCCGGGGGACTATGGAGATGTGCCGCTGGCTTTGGGAACAGCATCTGCTGTGACTGTAAAGTCCGATGCGGGAATGGCAGTCTTTGCCAACAGGATACACACAAAAGCAGATACTCCCTCGTTGTGAGGCAGTTTTACTCTCCGGTGCCTCCTCTCCACAGCTCGTTGTGTTCGGTTTCTTTCAAAATGTGACAGTCCATCTTTCACTTTCTGTCTCCATAGTAGTCGATCTGCAGCTGATTTTAACCATGTCTCTGTGCCTATGTTGGTATCTATTAGGTCACGTTTGCATACATCTTTATAGCGCAGCTTTGGCCTTCCTGTAGGTCTATTCCCAGTTACCAATTAACCATATAGATCTTTTGGAATACGACCATCCTCCATGCGGGAGACATGTCCCAGCCAGCGCAGACGTCTTTGCTTCAGTATACAATACATTGATGATATTTTTGCTCTTGTCAGCACACATTCGTTGGAGACAAGGTCTCGCCATAATATACCAAGGATGCGTCTCAGACAGCGCATATGGAAGGTATTCAGTCTTTTTTCCTGTGGAGCATAGAGAGTCCAGGATTCACAGCCGTACAGTAATGTGCTCAGGACACAAGCCAGCGTGCACTAAATCACAAACTATTCCTCCCCACAGCCTTAGCGGCAAAAGTGGTTTATAATGATGTTGATGATGACTAGTTCTGTGCCGACTCTCCTCCTAAAATTTTCATTCCTAAGTTCATGTCTCCTTGTTACACCTAGCATGATATTTAGAACATTTAATTTCTGTCATGACTTTTCTTCTTCTGTCGACAATGTCCATATTTGACACTGATAGCATAGCACTGGTAAGAATATTTAACTTTCTTAACAACATAAAAATCAAAAAGCTATATGTGCTACTCTGGGATCGAATCTTTGGGTTCTAATGCGTTAAAGAACCTTTATTCCTACGGAGAGGTACTGTCGTCTGGAGGCGACAGGTTCGATTATGAGTGGCACCTACAGCTGTCAATGTTAATGCTGTCTAGTGTGTCCTACTGTTTCTTTATTCTGCATCTGTAAGTGCCAATCAGACTGGCACACTGTCATTCTTGTCAATGTAATGAAGGGAATGGCAGATCTGTGCTGGCAAAAATGCTGGCAGATCTGTGCTGGCAAAAATGCCTGTTCAGATAGGATACAATTTGCTGTATTATGCAAAAGTGTAACATAACTGCCTGTATAATGTTAGAAAACATTCGATTTATCCCAAAAAAAAGCAACTCATATTTAAAAAACAGAAGTTGTACAGTAAATGCCCTTTTGACAACCTAAACAATTAACTTATTCATGGTCCAGCCATTTTTGAGATGACACTCAAGTAAACATGTGTTGGTTTGGTGTACAAAAGTGGGGGGGGGGGGGGGGGGGGTGTATACTTGAGGTATACGTGCAAAATGGGTCATATGTGGTGTGTAAATTTTAAAAAAAAACATAACAGAGTAAAATGAACATATTTTCTCCAGGGTGTACAGGTGTGGTGGGGAAACAAACAGGCAGATCGACTGGCTGGTTCTGCACCACTTGGTGGTAAACTGATGCACGACGAGCTAGTAGTGATACCTTTGGGAGAAATGAGCAATGCAAAGACAGAAAGAGATCATAATTATCAGAAAAAATGGTGCAGTGGCCAGGGGATCTGGCCAACACTCACGGGAGAGGCAAGATATATATATGTGAAATCAGACTGCCACTACTGGAATTGAAACTCTACACCGACTGCTGAAGATGGGGCTTCTATACGAATGTCCTGAGTGCTATATTGGTTCTTTACTCAGTTGTGTAAGAATCAATTGTCATTCTCAAATTTTGGGTTCTGGGGCCGCCTGGAAAAAAAAGGGGGTGGGGTGGGGAGAGAAGATAGATGCATTTCTCATTTGAAGCATGCTGAATTAAGTTAAGCCTTCACTTACATCAGATGTGTTGGAAAGAATGGCAGATATTGCAGCCTTGAACCACAACATAAGTCAACCACCCTTTGAAGGGCGAACACAGAAGAAAAAGATCAGTCATTATCAGAGTACATGGTATGATTTAGGTTTGCCGACTTTAGTCGGTCAAAGAGGAATAAAGACTGAAAGTAACCAGCCTTTTGTCTCGAAGACTAATGACTATATGTAGCATACTGTCAACATAATCTTTAATGCAACACACTATTAACTGAACTCAACAATAATATTGAAGTCACATTTATGTTTGGCATCAGGGTGACTCCTGAAATACCACACACACACACACACACAATTATGTTTGGCATCAGGGTGACTCCTGAAATACCACACACACACACACACATTTATGTTTGGCAT